TCCCCCGGAGGAGCTGGAGGAAGTGTCTGGAGAGAGGGAAGTCTGGGCATCTTTGCTTAGACTGCTGCCCCCGCGACCCGGTCCCGGATAAGCGGAGGAAAATGGATGGATGGATGGATGTACATACTGTGTCTCCTGAAGGATGAATAACAAAATACTTTCTCTCCATTTGCTGTTTTCTTTTGATCAGTCTGTTTTTCGAGGGCAAACAGAGAAGCAACATACTGTTATTTACAAGAACAACAACACATAAACATTCAAGATATATATGCTGGTCACTGTAATACAATATTTTTCTTTTTTTTTTCTACAACGAGACCGCGTTTTGACCATCCAAACAATCACAGAGCTCTTCCAAAGCAAACAGCAATTTAAGGTCCCATACCCACTTAATACAAAACCAATTATTTGTTTCTATGTGTATTTTTTTAATCTGTATGGAACTGTATGCTAAAGGAAATCAGAGACGACTATACACACTTGTACACAGACAAAACTAAACATCACAGTAAAAAAAAAAAGGCTGAGTATTTAAGACTTTTGCTTCGTCTTTGATCCTTTGCTTATCGACTATTTTTTTGAAATGTCTTTTCTTTCATTCTTCTCATTCACTAGGTGCAATCAAGCTTGTGCAAAAACTGCTCACCTTGTCCTAAACGAGGCAACTTGAAATCACTGTCAACCTCCTTTGCCTGCTCATAATTGATATGCACTTTCCCAAAATTTTGACACCTTTGAAAAACTGAAATATATCTCAAAAACAATGTATTATTGTTGTCAAAGTCCAGGTCTAGCCAGTTTTTCACTTTCAATTTAAGTGGTGGCTGTTTGAGCTACTGATCCCCCTCCCCCAGAGTATATTAGTTAGCTTATAAGATGACAAATGAATATTTTAAACCGTTGAACCACAGTCACTTGCTGTTCACCAACAGGAAGTGAACACTGACAGCACCGTACAACACACAGCTTCACATATACACTGTAGAGACGGAATGACAAAGATGTACAGTACATGAATGTCACACCCTGAGAACATGGCACCATGGACTGCCCCCCCCACACACAAACGTGACATTTAAAATGATAAAATAAACAAAAGTTTTTGAAAAATTGAGCGACAGAAGACATAAAGAAAGAACAGATTGTGGTGCATAGAACTTTTGTAGGCAGAGGAACCAAAATAGTGCCTGTTTTAACCAGCAGGTGGTGCTCCACTCAACTGTTACTAACTCAAGCTGAGCACGTTGACTTTCTTCTCCAAAAATCCTCCCTTTAACTAGAGTGTAAATGAGCCACAAAGATGTCCTGTAACAGAATGAACAAAGAAATGTCACAAGGAGAAAAGAATGAAATCGTGTGTGAAAGACATTAAAGACGAAGACAAAGGTGTTGGAATTTACAGACATGGGACACGAGATGTACAGTAGCTGGTCAAACCAAAGATTTAAGAATACAAAAAGGAAACAATTCACAGACAATTTAACAACACTTTGGTGACTTGTAACCCTGTTGGCACTGGGGAACACAACGTGACACAACTCAGAGTACTTCAGATGTCCTTTTGCTTCGGACAATGTGTGTTTACATCTTGGCTTGGTCTAATTTTATTTGTCTTGTTTTTTAAATGATTGTCTTAAGAGTCCTCATCCACTTGTACCAGAAAAAAAAAGGCCAGCAAAATTGTTAAAAATGTACTTTCCATTAGTTTTCTGTTGGATTGTCTTCTGTTTTTTATCACACTGGTCACACGGGCAGGCTGGCTGGCTCCACATCTCGCCCGTCATCACATCATCTCTGTGTCACCTTCTCATCTCCAGTCTCTCTCCTCATCCCTCCGTTCAACCGATGGCTCACTTTAGACAATGGAGTCCCAGTCAAAGTCGTCCTGGATGTCGTCCGCTGTGAGCATGCGTCTCACCTGAAAGTGTCCCGGAGGCAGAGTGTGCGGTTGCTGCTGCTGGCTCAGCTGGCTGGGATGACCTGGACATGTAAAAAGAAGTGAGACTCAGTATTGATTTACACTGTTAACACACCAGTGACATTTCAATCCTGCCTCTGTGTCACTGCTGCTAATTGAATGATTTCTTTTTATGCACTGTCTGTGAGTAGGAGGAAGAACGGGTAGAATAGAAAATGAGGCTCTGAATAGAGAATTTTCTGGCTCCTGATCATGTCAAGGGCATCAGCAGTTAATGGAAAAATCTGAAAGCCTGGAAAATCAAAAGTCCTGAAGTCCTGGGAAGAAAGCTAAATGAGCTCAAATTTGTTTTAGAAACTGTTAATTCTAATGTGGTGACACATACAGTAACTTATCATGGCGTCTCAGTGGTGTTGCTGTGTTTGATGTTACCTTTCAAACATCTTGTAAGAATACAGTCAAATGGAAAGAAGATCATGGTTACGAAACTCATAAAAACAGAGGTGTTGATTCAGCTCTATGATAATATTTGATATCTTAAGCTTTTTATTGATCGTATGCAATGTATTAACTCACACTATAGGTTTTAATCGGGCCTCCTGCTTTGCCACAATCTGTGACTTCACAGCTCAGACTGTACATTCACTTAGTCGCGCACAACATGAATACTCACACTGGACGGTTAAAGAGAAACCCCGAGCGGGTGTTCTCACTGACAACTCCAATAAAGCCGAGGTCAACCAAAAGAAAAGCAGCATTATTTTTAGTCGTTTTTTTGTAATGCTGATTAACAGCGGTAATCTGCTGTCGGTCACGACACTGTTCTGCCAGTGCTAGATTAGCCTCATCCATAGACAGGATATAAATATATTATATACAGTCTATGGCCTTATTACTGTTGGTACTGTCCACAAAATGTGATATCTCATCTCTAAATTTGGACCGTGGACCTGCATCTGATCTGTCGGGAGCTAGATTGCTGTTCATTCAAGTGATTATTTGGGTGCCGGGCCCCTGCTCACACTGTACGTTAAGCAACAACTGAAGTTTGGCGTGACTGTGGTGCTCCACCGATATTATAGACAGATAAGATTTACTGTAGATAAGGTCTTACAGAAGAGGATTAGGGCCACTGTAAAAAAATATATATTGGAGTTCTGACTTTAAAGATGACTTTTTAAAAAGTCCGTATTTAGATAACATGTTTGCAGTGTCCCTGATCTGCTTCTGTAAGGTTTGGTTGTACCACTCAGCTCGAGAAAGCTCTTGAAGAAGTTTGTCAGGACAAATTTACAAGTGAGAATCACTTGAGTGGTGGGAAATGTTTAATCCAGTGGTTTTGCAGTCTGATCCATACTAGGAAATAAAAGCCAGGATTTCTCTGCTGCCTCAAATTACAAGTTAAATTAATACTAGGTTGCTTTAATTGTACCTCATTAATTCATCCTCCATGACAATTTGTGACAATCAGTGTATTTATAATTTGTTCTCAATGCTGAGATATGCAAATCTAACTGAAACTGATATTCCCTTATGTTTTTGGATACTGCCTCACAAACAGTTTACTTGTCCCCATGTCAACGTACATCTATATGATGATCACATACTGATATTAACACTAATGCTGTCAATATTATGGTAGCAATAAAGGCACATTCGTCTGCGTATCAACCTGCACACATACAGTACAGTGCATATACCCTGCATGTCTTCTGGCTCCTACAGACCTGTCAAGAGAGCGAGGGAGGAGTCACCTGTCATTGTGGGAGCCGTGTTGCTCATGGGAGGCATGTGGGGGTATCCTGGTGGGCCCATTAGAGGAGAGATGTTTTGTCTGGAGTCCATGTACATGTTTCCTGTGGGAGAACAGACAAAGGGGCAATGACTAACTGTCAGATTAGTATCCCAAGTCTCACACACACATAGGCGTCTTTGCAGAATATGAGCTGTTTTCATGTGCACACAGTTTTACTGGCATCTTATGCTAAGCTAGAGGAACCCTACCAAATCTGCTGTCACTCAGTGGATTTCACACTGGTGAAATATCTACACTTCTTCGGGTCTTTACTCCATTTGTTACAAACTGACAAACTTCTTAAATCTGTTATAAATATAATGGGCAAACAATGGCACAGTGAGGAGAGAGTGTAATTCAGCCCCTGTCACAGAACAAGAGTCTGGATTCCTACTGGCAAAGAGAGAAGCAACAAAGGACTTTCATAGAAGTCCATACAATTTTCATAACCAGGTACTGGTGCTATATTTGAGTATGATGGGCAGGTTTTTATTTATTCTCTCCTTAATTTCAGAGATAAATATTGTGTCTTTACGCCACTATATTTATGTCAACTCTAAAACTACTTGTCTTCAGAATTTGTACTTTTAGTTAGTGTGTTTTGTTGGTTTTGTTTTGTGCATTCTGACCGGTGCTGATGTGTTGGTTGTGTTGGTTGTGTTGTCCGTGATGATTGTGCTGGCTGGCCTTTGGGTGCATCGCCCTGTGCGGCTGAGCCGGGTGCTGTGGCGCCCCTGGTGGAGTCGGGTGTTGGACCTGAGGTTGTGGGTGGGTGGCGCTTTGAGGGGGGATGACGCCTGTGGCTGTGAAGAACTGGTTAATGGAGGAGCACAGGTCAGCCATCTGGGCAGCATCCAGTGACCAGTTGTTGAGTTCAGCCTGTCGCATGCTTTCCTTTAGACCTGATGGACAGACAGAGGAGGGAAAGACGGACTGTGACAGTCACTCACTGTGCTTTTTATTATTATATGGTAATTGAACAAAATGTCCTCAAATGTTCCTAATACGCCACTAAATTTCCTCTCAAGCATCTTTAAAGTTACATAAAAACATGCATCTGTTTTCATCTTTGATAACTGTAGGCTGCAGTATCTGAAGGTACATCACACTAAATGTGAACTATTATAGTAAATTACCAGTTTCCTTTTCTATGGCTACATAATACTACCAGAAATAAAACTGTCAATGTCTTGTGCATCATTTCTTCCACAAACTAAATCTGGCACCTCTGGATCTTAACTATAATAAAACATAATGTTCTGTGACAGTGAACAGTGTGTCCTTTCTAAGGTTAATGATAGGGGGATTAAAAATATGTGCTGATAAAAATTAGAGGGAAAACCTGGATAATATGATCACTGTGCAAACAAATATATACCCTAATGTTTTATTTATAAGCACCTCTCCTGCAAATATTGCTTCAGAAATGAGGCCCAGTGTTGTTCTACATGTCCTGCATCTACAGTGGTTACATTTTTTTTTTATTAGACCAACAATAATACAGTCTTACTTACTAACTGCAATGACTCTTTCCAGATAAATTCCAGGTCTGCTCAATGCAGAGCTTTGGATGAACACAACCATATTATTTATATAAAAAAATAAAACATAACTCATTTGTAGCACATATAAATAAAAACCTATACATTTGCTGCCAGAATTCTTCCACCTTAACTACAAGCCATAGTGCAGTGCATTGCTCTCCTGACAACATACCTGACATCATGTAGAACGGGGTCTTGAACCTTTAACATCTCCCTTTTCCAACAAACATATGACCATGCTTCTATTCAACATGTTTATCTCTGATATTTCTCAAAATCAAATTCATGTGGTTTGTGTTTGGCAGCAACAGACATGAGAGGCACAGTCCTTTCACTTTGGATGTGAACCTCAGTCAGTCAAGGATGGCATTAGTGTTAGGTAGGCCAAGCACTGCAAGAGGTGAGAGAAAGGCAGCAAGACCTGTGTGTAATAAGACTAGCCGTCATTATCCAACGTCTGTGGATGCTGCCTGCTTTGTGCACTGACCGTGATAAGAAGCAGAGCTGGGGCCTAATTGGATTATTCACATCATACAATTAGGAAGGACGGAGACTGTGTGGGGAGTTGGGGGGGTTGGACACAGAGTGGCAACCTCTCAGATGCAGGATAATGCCTTCTATCATGCCAATACTATTACGACAGTGGCTACTATAACACTGTGCCTCAGAAACGAGTTTATATGACAGCACAGAGAAGAATCCTGACGGTTTAATAAATTTAACTAATCACCAGCATTTTTCAGTTCTCGCTGTGCAGAAGAGAACTTGATCAATGCTCATTTCAGATTCTGTTCAGATTGACAGCTCCAGGACTGTTGGTGGTGTGTGCATGTTACCTTGAAATGGGGAGAGGTCCACGTCAGCCCAGTTATAGCTGGTAGCAATGCGGCAGCTTTCTTTCAGCCAGTCCAGATTGGGGTACCAGTCTGACGACAAACCTGACAGACAGCACACACACCTTTAAAATTATTCATTAAATGGTTGGATAAAAGATGAAGCTGAAAAGATTACAGCTATTACAACTAATGGTTATAATTAAGCTGCTGATTTTTTGAGTCATCTTTGAGTTGTTTGGTCTATAAAAGGACAAAATGTGTGGACAACAGATGTGACAATTTCACAGAGCCCAAGGTACGATCGTCAGTCTGTTTGTTTTGTCTAACATTCAAAGATTCCCAATATACAATATAAAAAACTGAGAAAAGCAGAAAATCTTCACATGTGAGAAACTGGAACCATATAATATTTGGCATTTTTCATGATGAATGACTTCAGTGATTAAAAATGATCAAAACTGTTGATTTATTTTATATTATCTAATTGTTTGAGCCCCAGAGTAAATGCTAGGGTAACAATATGAAACAGAGCAGTGTGACAATGCCAGATGAACTGAACCAGAATAAAAATGAGTGAAATTTGTTTCAGGCTTAGTTATGCAATTAACCACAAGGTGGCGCAACTTCACACAGAAAAATTCCAGCCACAGCTCTGCTTTAGAAAAAAAAGGAAGAAGATGCTTTTCACCACCCTCACCACCCCAAACTAAACAACAATACATTCTCAGTGCATGGATCAAAGACAGAGGGGTTGCTTTCATTCCTCCCCAGCTTGGTTGAGGAGAATACTAACCTAGATATATAATGTCTGAACAGTCCTTTTCTCTGGCCTGAGAGCTGTGCTGCATAGACACAGAGCAGGGGAAAAAAACAAAGACCAGGAATTTGTGGAGGAAAAGCCTCAGTGCAGCTGTGGAGATGCCTGTCTGTATCAGCCCCACCTCATGATTTCAAATGCTTTGGGACATTATAGAGGCAATGTGTATATTATAAATGCAATGAGGCTGTGCAGAGACAAGACTGTTCTGATGTGGTAGGTGAATTGCATTTACACCAGTGTGGCTTTGGGAGTCAGAAGAAGTAGAGTCATCATTTGGCGCTGTACTGCATCAATATATATGAAACTACACCTGTGTGCTCTGTGGGTCCCTTTCACAAGAATTAGTAAAGGGTGTGCAAAGGGTGGAGAAACGGGTTATACTGAGCATGCAGGCTTCCAAAGTCAATGAGGGCTCATTGATAGCTGGGGCACTTTAAATTTCTGGCTTACTGATAGAAAATTAAAAGATACTTTTCAGGTACCAGCACTGTGAATGGAAGATTTAAGACCTGATACATTTAGCAGATTGAATCCATTTACTATTAGTCCGATTACATGGCTCTGGTGGGGTCTCCTAGTGCTGCATTCACACCATGGCATCAGAATGGGTAACACAAGGAATCCTCTTGTTAGGGCTTGGGGGGAATACTGCACTATATGAAGGTGATTACCATGTTGGTACTACCAACAGGTGTCACCAGAGCCAGAGATTTTCCACTATTACAGCTTTATAAGTGGAAACCAGAAAAAAAAAAACCCAGAAGTGAAAATCACCGGTTGCGGTGCAGGTCTGTCCAGTGTGACTCTGGTGAGAGAGAGACGAGTGCTGTTGGTGCTGACCATGCGACTGGTGCTGGCTATGAGTGGGGTGAGAGGGGAGGTGCTGTTGAGGGAGATGGGGGTGGTGGGACGACTGGCCGTGGTTGTGTTGGTGGTGGTGGCTGCCGCTGCCTCCCACACCAGGGGAGTGCTGGTAGGAGCAGGCAGTCCGGGGCTGCTGGCTGGAGTCAATGGGCATGCCCATCAAACCCGCTGAGGAAAAACAAACAAACAAAAAAACAGCACAGAATATTAAAAACAGAAAAACTAAAATGGATAAAGGATTAACTATTGACAAGATGGACAAACTTGAGGTTTTGAGTTAATGGAACGTTCTTTTGTGATCTGGAAACATGAAACTTTAACCTGCTATCCATCCCACCGTTCCCTTATCATCCATGTAACACAGTTTACATCCACTCATGTGTCAGTGTCACCATGACCACTGACTGTCTGTGGGCTCTCTCTCCCCCCTGAATCTCAAGCTTAGCTTTGTCAAATTTAATAATTTAATCTGCAGTATCATCAGACACATGAAAACCAGCTTTTGACTTGTACTACATGTAGAAACTGTAGCAAAATGTGTGTGTGGACAGTTATTCTGAGTGAGAAAAATGTAGCTTTTCCAAAAACAAATCAAACAGGGCTCAGAATAAAAACACACACTTTTTCAAAGGAAATGTTCTAGAGAGTAAAGCTTTCTAAAGGGCTACTGAATGAAGTGAAATGATGGCACTGAAGTTTTGACCTTCAGGTAAATTTTAGAATTAACTTCTTTATTAACCAGAAATCTGACAGAAGACCTATAAACACAAAGTTGTAGATGATGCCTGGTTCAAGTTTTTCAATATTCTTAATATTTTTTTAACTGTTCAGAGACTAAGTATATTAAGATAATGTTAGGCACATTACAATGTTTATATCTATTACCCTGAAATTTAAGTTCTGGTCTCATTTTCCATTCCAGTCAAATCAGCAAAATTTGGAAAGCTTCCAGTGTGGTACTGTGAAGAGTTCTACCGTGATGGGTTCAGGCCAGTGTTTCTTCAGCTGATCGTTATGAAAATTTCTCTCTGATACACACACAGAGACACCGTCTCCCTCATCAACTTGTCCTATGGATTAGATATTTTCTGACTGACAAAATGCAGAGGAGTCTTGTGAATGGCAGTTTCTTGGATGCACGAGTTCAGCCCATGTGTTTTATCACCTTTACTTTTCATCATGAATACTGACAGCTGCAGAAACTGTAAAGTCGGCAGCTCACTGTTAAATCTTCAGATCATGCTGCATTGTGCATTGGACCGAGTAAATTTTCACTGCTTGCATCACGGACTCAAGTGTTTTGTATTCCATTTCTTTTATTCCCTATGATGCATGTCTGCTTAACACTTTCTGACAAATGGTTTAGAGCCACTGTTTTATCCATTCACTGGGAGTCTATCCATAGTTTTTAACCATCTTGGTTGTGTTTTCCTTCCTAATTTATTGTACAGCTATTCTGAAACCTGTCAGTTCTTACAGGGATGAATACATTTGTTCTGGGTTACACTGAAGCATGTCCCTTTTATTTAAGTTCCTCTGCTTTTAATATAAAATAAGGGAAACTAGAGGGAAGTTATTAAAGCTGGATGATAAAAGTTGTTGTTTTCATGCCCAACTTGACATGATGCCCCAAATGGTGATTGGTTACATCAAACTATTTATTGCAGTTCATTTTTTGTTTTTACTGTTTGGCCTGTGACACCACCTGATGAAGTTACAGAGCGGTATGCGGTCTTGGACTCACCGGTGTTTTTAAAAGGAAATGATAAACTCTGCTGTCTGGGTGTCTCAAAGTCTCAAATACAATGACTGCAGACAGTGTTTCCTGCTAGGCCTCACACTTGAGGGACCCTTTCATGCATTCACTAAATCTATTTCCTCTTCATTTTGCTTCTAGGTTGTTGTGTTAGATATTTTTTCACCCAACTAGCATTCCCATTGTCTTATCTATTCTGTGTGTGCACTCCTGACCACAAATTGAAGGGGGCCTTGTCAGCGGTTGCGGAGCTCAACAGAGCGCATCAATTTCCTCGGTTACAGAACATATGTGGATGCGTACGAGGAGAAAAAGGTGAGAGAGGGAAGGTGGTAGGATGGTGGGGGGGGTCCAAGTGGGAGAAGGCCTGGTGACCTGAAAGCTTCAGGAAGCAATTAGCGAGATGCATCGCAAACTTTAGAACCAATCTAATTAGTTGCTATCAAAGCAAAACCCTTTGCTCTGCTCGAGTGCAGATGTGTTTGTGAGGTTTTTTTTTCTCCTTCTGTTAAATTCTTCTTACTCTTAATTGCCTTTACTCATTTGACTGAGCCAGCTGTAAAATGCAGATATGCGGAACAACAGATTGTTTATTAAAATACAATAGAGTAGGAGTAGTGTGTGGTGGAGGTGAATGCTGGAATGTTTTTACTGCCATGAAAGCAATGATAAATTCTTCAATTAATTATGTGCAGGAGGTTTTTTGTGTGTGTGTGTGAGTGTGTGAACAGGTGTCATTTAAGATACTGTACAGGCACAGAGGAAGAGCTACACACTAATTCAATATACAAAATGAGATGCCCACCTTGCTGCGAGAAGGACTGCTCGAAGACACACTTGTAAAGGCTGCGGAAAGAAGCGCTGAGGTCCTC